CCAATTCCCTCAGGACTCTGGGATGCGTCTCATCAGGTCCCGTAGAGTTGTGTACGTTCAGGTTCTTCAGGTGGTCTCGAACCTGATCTTCCCTTACAGTGGGAGGGGCTTTACCCCCTTGGTCCCCATCTTGCCGTCCGTCGACTTGGGAGGGGTGAGGAGAGAGGTTGCCGGTGAAGACTGAGGCAAAAAAGTTGTTGAGTACCTCCGCTTTCTCCTCGTCTGTTGATATTAGGTCAGCGTTCTTCTTCGTCGGGGGGGTATGCTTTCTTTAACCTTCCTTTTCTGGTTGACATACCTGTAGAAGCCCTTCTTGTTATTCTTTACATCCCTTGCCAAATTCAGCTCCAGCCATGCCTTGGCCTTCCTGACCCCCTCCCTACACAGCTGGGCAGCTTCCCTGTACTCTTCCCAGGACACCTGTCCCTGCTTCCACTGCCTGTGCAGTTCCCTCTTGCTCTTTAGTTTGACCAGCAGGTCTCGACTCAGCCATGCTGGTCTCTTCCCTTCCTTGCCTGATTTTTTACACTTGGGGACTGAGAGCTCTTGTGCTCTATGGAAGGTGTCCTTAAAGATCTGCCAGCTCTGTTCCGGTCCCCTGCCAGAACTTGTTTCAATTTCAAATCAGAATAAAGGCTGAAGGATTGGAATGGGCACAACTAATTTTGTCATAACTTTTGTGTTTTGCTACAAGTTTTACTTCTCCTACTGACAGTGAGTAATGAGATATATGAAAAATACTGACTTAAAAGAATTACAAAGCTTTTGAATCCAATAAGCAGAAAACACTCAAATCACCAAGGTAGTCAGAATGACTGCTTGTATGTGGACCACAGTCAGGCATATTAATAATCCATTTTAGTCATACTGTTATTATGCATACCTCTGAATTTGAGATAACAGTTCACTAATTTTTGACATTTGAGAATCATGAACTGTTTCCTCCCCATTCTTTTAACATGAAATGTGATTGTAAAATTGCAGTCTTTTCTGTATTACGTATCCTGAAAAAATGAGATCCCAATAGTCAAGAGGAAATCTTGTGGTTAAGTTGAAGAAGACTTCTTGCTCAGACTTGTGTTTTTTGAAACAGGATGTTCTCAAAGATGGCCCAGGTACAAATTGAAGAGAAAACTTTGCTGAAACACTCAGTCTCAAGTAGTGCCATCTCTGCTGTTAGCAGAAGCTCAGTTTGTGAGAGTGGGTACTGCCATGACCCAGGCAATTTTATTTCATGTTGCTGAGCACCAAGCTGATATGCAGAAGCTCAAGGCATCTATGCTTGCACCAACTGTCCAGCCTCTCCCTGCTGTCCAGTTACGAGAGGATGCTGTGCTCGGCCTTTTGTTCCTGAGTGCTTAGGCACTCAGGCTGGGGCTGAGTCTGAGGTTATGGGCAAACAATACAGGAGAGGGGCATGCTCGGGCTTGAGCCTAGGCTTGTGTTTGTCTTTGATTAACAGTGCCGTCATAACCAAAGTATCAGAGCTTTACAGAATTACCAAGATCTGAGAGAACCTGACAAGGAGCATTGCCAGAGAGAGGCTCTTGCACCTCTGTTTCAGTAACATAATCTAATTTTTCTTATTCCTAATCATCCAAGGTCTGTATAAGCTTTAGTTAGTTAATAGTTTTCTTTTATTGTAACGTCAGTACAGTTCCAATCATTAAAACTGGGTGCATTTTGTTAGACATGCATATATAACAGCACAATCCATGCAAATGGAGGGCCCAAGGAGTGACTGTTTTTTCCCAGTGGGACAGTTTCTGAACACGCTATTCATCATTTGGATCACATCCCTCATGGACTGTTTTAAATGCCATTACAATAACAGAACTATGTGATGCATCAGATAGACTTTCTCTGCCTTATGACACAAAACAGCTCAATTTTTTTTTTTCTTTTTTTATCTTGCAGGGTTCTTACTAGTGTTGTTGCTAAGTGCCATGAAGAACAACTAGACAACTGCATCAATTCTTATGTGACGGTATGATTGCTGTTATGCTGTTAACTATTTTGGGGGGGGTAGGGGGGTGGGTTTTTTTTTCCTGTTTACTCTTAGTTGTACTTGTTTGTAGCTTTCTTTGCATTTGCATTATAGCTTTCTGCCACTAGTAGGCTGGGTGGCCTAATGACCTAATGTAAGATTTGGAAGAGGCTGAGTCAATTCTCCTCCTCTGCCATAAGTTTCTTGTGTCTCCTTGAACAAATCACACTGCCTCTCTGTGCTTTAAGGGCATCCTATAGAGCAGGGACACTCCATAAATGTTCTTCTCCATCAAACTCAGCTGCATCCTGGCTCTCAACCTTACTCCATTGAGGAGGACAAAGGGCTGCTCATGTTTCCTCTGCATGGTGCAGCTTTCTTTCCATAGGACACCAAGTTGAGCAAACACAGGAGGAGGAAGCTGCAGTGCACTCTTAAAGGGTACTGGGATGTGGGAGGGCCAATTCCTCATAGTTGACTGATGACTAGAGCTTAAATTTTAGAAGCAAGATGTAGTGCAAATGCACTTCCACTGAGCTTCTAGGAGCGTAGGCTTAGCATCAGTCTTTGTGAAATGGTTAAAACTGAGAATTTCCCACGTTGCAGGGCATTTGTGGATTATGAGTATTATATGTGGTATAAGTTTGGGGTTTTTTGTTTTGTTTTGTTTTTTAAATCAACTTTAGGAATAAAGTGATAGCAAATGCATTCCTGATGAACTCTGAAACTTTAGCATGTTCATGGGTAGAATAATGGAAATATGGTAGGTTTAGGTTACTAAATAGGAAAACTGTTTTAATTTCAGTGTTGACAACTGTTGGTTGATATTTCCATGGTATGGATTTACTTTTATACTTCATGAAAATATGTGTTTACAGGTGATGCGTCTCAGCATCTTAGTAGTCAAATTCTAGTCTCAAGTGCTCTGATTTAAGCACAGAGGAATTATTCTGAGGTCCAGCAGAACTGTTCAGGCTCCAAAATAAATAACCTATGTAGTTAATTAAATGGCTACTAACACCTCTTCCACTCAATAACTTTTCAAAATTGCAATAGACACCTATTGTGGCTAAATATCTCTGAAATAACAGGTGATTATTAGGCCACCCCAGAAGTCCATTTAGCCTGTTTTCCCTTTTCCAGCAACAGTCAAAAGTCAATAACTGTTAATCTCTTTTATCCATCTGTAAGGAAGTGAATACCTACTTTAGAAATGCTGTTTTGGGAATAAGTAAGTTGAGAATTGTGAGTCACTCAGTAATAATAGTGTGAAATTACACTGACTTAAATAAGTGGACCCAGAAGTGTCAAACTGCACAGTGAGAAGTTTATGGCATTTGCTCTGGAAACAAGGCTGAATATTAGTAAGATATTTTCAAGTGATACTCCTTTCTTTTATCTACCTGGTTGAATTGAAAAGGTATTTCATCCCAGCTGATGCACTGGCAGAACTCTTGCTTTAGGGAAGGAGTAATGGATCCCAGTATCAAATTATTAGCTTAAAATGTTGAATAAAACTCGTACTAGATTTGTGAGTTCTGAGCAACTTGGTAGATAAATTCATGTCTTGAGGGCTTGATTTCTGAAAGGGGTATAGTTTTCCCCTTCTGTCAGCTCCAGTGGGTGCTCTACACCTTTCAGGATGAAGAGTTGTTACCAGCTCTGACTAGCTGTTGGAAGAAAGGAGCAAGTGAAAGGTGGCCCTGACTAGGTGGGTGAAAAACCCTCCATACTTCCTCTGCTTGCTTATTCTTTTTTTCCCCCAGTGAAATGGCTTGAAAGGCAGTTTAGAGGTGTCAGGATCCTACGCCCTACTGAAGAAATAAATCGTAGCACTGATTTTAAGCAGAAATTCCTCTTGGTTCACATTAAGCTGAAATCAACAGGAAGTTGTGTTTGAAACTGTGATTTTGTAGGGGAGCAGTGTTGTGCCGTTACAGCTAGAGGAATTAAAATTTATGTGAATGTATTGTTAAGTCAAGATATTTTGGCGGCAAAGATTGTCAGCTGTTAGAGGTGTATAAATAATTTATCTTCTCCTGCTGAGGTTATTTGTATTTGTTTTAATGTACATTTTGATAATTTTTATTTTTTTCTTTCTTCTTCAGTATGTGTTCAGGACCAAATCATTTGAAGAAAGGACTGTTCATGAGGAGCTGGCCAAGAATATGACTGGTCTTCTGAAGTTAAATGACCAAGTAACAGTGAAACAGGTTTTAAAGGTGAATGATAGCTTGAATTAGCATATTTGTAGTTTTACTACTGGTTTTCTGCCTGAAACTCACTTGCAGCATCTCTTTCTCCTCTCCTCTCTCCCTGTATGAGCTTTGCCGAAATAACATCCTGCAGTGATTCAACAGAACAGACTTACCAGGCTTGCTACAGTTTCTCAGCATCACGTGTTTCTCAGAATGCTGTAGTTTGCATAATAAAATTCCTCCTTTCTGTTACAGCTCAGTATTGAGTCGGAAACCTAATTCTTATACAATATGATGTGAGCAATTACTTTTAGGATAGTTTGTTTTAATTTTTATTTTGGAAGTTGCAGTGAGAGTATTTGTCTGTAAGTAGGACATTTATATCTGATTTCAGCTGCTCCTTTGATTGACAGTGACCAAAATGAGAATGATTGAGGTTTCCTGAGGTTTCTCATATCAAAGCAGGTCTAAGAAATTCATACATGTGCAAGCCCCATCACTGAGCCTGTTGGTTATGGTGTAAGAGCTAGCCAGTCCAGCTCAGGAGTTCCCAGTGACAAAAATATGTTCAACTGTTTAGAGTGAATCAGTTCCTGTTTCTTGTGCTGAGCCACTGGAATAGCAAAAATAGGCTGAAAAAAGCAGAAAAGCTGCCCTGTAGGAAACCTGGGCCATGCAAAAGCACTTGTGTTTGGGTTTGTTGTGGGGGTTTTTTTGCAATTTGTAAGCTTTTTGAGTGTATTTGTTTCACATATCTCCTGAGATATGCGAGGACCATATCTCCTGAGATATGTGAGGATACAGGTATTACTCTGTATCCTACCTGTTCACTATTACGACTAGTATTTGAAGAACCACTGTTTATCTTTTAAACAAACACCATCTTATTCTGGGCCAAATTACCAATCTGCCGGACCTAACAAAGCAGTTTATTCTCAGCTTCTGTTTTCTGAGGTTCTCTGCATCATGCATTTCTGCCAGTTACCTGCAAACAAACAATGAAGACAGTGCTCAACAGGAACGGAAGGACTGCAGGAGTGGTGTTTACAGGCTCCTTATTGCACAGAGCCACAGCAACAAAGCGCCTGAGATGGCTTCAGCTCTCTTAAGGACACGATCCAGTGTTACTCAAATACGTGGCACTTAGGCTCTTTATTTATCACATAGAGTTCATCATTGTGCATTACTGAGAAATGCCATCCATCTATAAGGAATGGTAATGCATCGTAAAGTATGTATCAGATAATAATTTTTCCTAATCTCTGTTTTCCTTCTTTTGAACAGCATTCCTGGTTCTTCTTTGCAGTTATCTTAAAATCAATGGCACAGCACTTGGTTGATACAAACAAAACAAAAGTAAGTATATATGTGATCTCAATTAAGTAAGGCAATTGGTCTCTTAGGGAAAATACAGAATGCGGAATCCTGGGAAATGCATGTACTTGGACTTTTCTTCTTGACTGGTCAAAAAAAGAAGCGCTGTTACACTTTGTAAAATATTGTTTTTACCTACAAAAACATTATATTACCTGCTAGGCTCAAACCTGTTCTTGCTTGCAGAGAACTGGTGGGCCAAAAATACAGTTGCACCAGCTTTGTGGGCAGGTTAGAATGAAACGAGAATTCTTTAATTTCTGCTGGTTACCCAAACAGGTGATTATGCCAGACAGCAAATAAATGATCTAGAAAGTCTGCTTTGCTTTAAGCAAGCCTGGCGATTAGTGCTTTGACCTGTTTTCTGCCTGATTATCAAAGATGCTCTTAGTATACTTTTGCTGGAATCTGAGGATAAGATTTCCCACTTTCCTATGGACCAGATTCTTCCTTTTGAGGTTTATACTCAGAATAGATCCATGGAACTCTAGGAATATTTTTCTTCTATGTTGAATGACCTGTGTTTTATTGTCTTTATTCTTAGCCTGAATGTATTTTCAGGTTTAATGTGCAACATCATGCGCTCTCAAGTGACGATCTGTTCCCTGCTTAGGTTTCTCGAACTCAGAGGTTTCCAGACTCATTTCAAACTGAGCTGGATACACTCGTGATGGTCCTAGCAGACCATGTTGTTTGGAAGTACAGAGATGCTCTTGAAGAAACCAGGAATGCAAACTACAGCACTGCCAAATTTCTCAAGGTGAGATGTTCTGTCATTGCAGCATCTGCACTTACTTCCCCATACTTAATGCAAATTTGAGACTATTCTAGTCTAGTCAAAGGGAATAAAAATGATTCTGAGTGCATGATACCTCAATTTCCAAGTTTAGTGACCTGTAGTTCAGTTTTTCTATGCCCTTGGGTCTTTGAGAATGCAAAAGCTTTATCTAAGTCTGCTTTAAAGCAATTGTCATTCCTTTATATCTATTCTCTAAAAGAGGCCAAGCTTTCAGATTTTGCAGATTGTTATATTAAATTCAAATGGATAAAAAATTTGGTAAGAATGAATGAAACCAATGTAGTTACAGTTGAGCTGGTATTATTTCTTTAAATACTATAGCTCTAAATGACTGTGGATAGATTAATGTTTCCTCATCGCAACCAGAGTGGGCAGCTTTTACAAACCAGAATAAGCAAATCGCAAGTATTATGTGAAATACTGTAACCTACCTTTTTAACTCTGTAATGCCCTTTCATTTACTAAGTATAAGAAAATACATGCATGCTTTGGAAAAGTCACTAAAAGGGGTTGCATTTTATGGTTTTGTCCTAATATTTCTCAATCAGTTTTATTTTCCCAGCTTGAGTTAGCTGTGGAGTGTGGGAAAATTGCCATTCAATAAGTTGTGTGGCCAGATGCTTAATCTAGATTTAAACTGGACATACACACACCCCCTTTCCATTAACGGGATGATGTACATTAATGATGTACAGAACATTGTATATAATACACGCTGAAACCCAGGCTCAAATCATTTATGACAAATTGAAGCACAGCATTAGGAGAGAGCAGTATTCTAGCAATAAAATGTTCCTGTGAGGTTATAAGGAAAAAACCCACAAACTGAAGGTGGGTTTTTCTCCTTTCATACATAGGTGAAATAAATGATAAACTTGCTGTCCACTGTATTGGCCTCTGTTGCTGATGCGGAAGCATAGTTGTTGTTGTCATACTGACGTTAAGCTGTATCTGTCCATAGTGTTACATCATTTGGAAGATGATGCTGGTTTGAGGCAGGAGCATAGGTGGAGGGGCTTAGTCAGTAGTTGTGTTGCACCTGTGGAGGTGTTGCAGATTTTGTTTGTTACTCGGCTAGACTGGGAAGACAGTAATGTTGCATTATATGATATGGCATATGGCTGTGCTTTGATTTCTTTTCGAATCTAGTCTGACAGAAAGAAGTACATAGGTTAGAGATAATAAGGCTTTCTCCAGGCTGGGATTGCAGTAGCCTTGTTTGAATGCTGTGTGGTGGAGGGCTCAGGGCTGCACTAGTTTTGTAGAGTTCAGGAACACCAGAGAAGGGTGGAATTCAAGATTGCATTCGCTGTCTGGTAGGCTGACTCTGCAAGGAAAAATTGTCAATAACTGTAGCACCAAGGCCCTGAGAAACCTTTACACCTTCTGGCTATTTAGCCCCATCAATCAGCAAGAGCAGTGTTCTCATCATGAAGTAATGTAGTGGCGTATTTGCTCCCAGAGAGATAACGTAGCTCATAGACAGCAAGTATTGTGGCTGGATTGATTCCTCAAGAGTCGTTGCTCTGTCACTGAAGGAGATATTCAGGTCAGCTCCCATCACGTACCATCTCTAGTGACTGAGTGTTGCAGTACATGAATGATTTTCATTAGATAAGCTTTCTCCTAGTGCACTGTACACTGTGATAGTAATTCTAGACTGTAGAAACAGTGAAAATGAAGTTTGATCAATTTATTATTACTGAAAATAAATTAAAAATTCGAGCCGGATTCACCAGTTCCTTGGTTTTCCTTGCGCTGCTATAAGACTAACTTCACCTGTGCAAATGATTCAAGTTTAGGCGACACAAGGCAAACAGCCAGGTAGGTGAGGCCATGTACTGCTTTTTTGGCTATAAAATAATAATTCTTTTTTCCCCCTTTCTTAGCGCTGTTTTACATTTATGGATCGTGGATTTGTGTTCAAGATGGTCAACAATTATATAAGTATGTTTGGAACAGGAGATAGCAAGGTATAGTTTTGATTTTTTTTTTAATTTGTTTTTGTTTTTTCTGAAGTGATTTCCTAGCAGAATATTTTTATATTGAAACTATTTATGATCTATCGCATGGCTTCACCATGCTCAGAACTCAAGTCAGTGAAAACATTTACTGTAAACGTGTGTTAAAACCTCTTGGTTTTGAGCCATCTATCCCCTTTTCTGGCAGTAAATAGCTGTGTCCAAACAATTACTCACTAAGCCCTGCAAGAGCAGACTCTGCAAAGACTGCTCAGACCAAAGCATGCAAAAGGCTGACCAGTCAGAAATTCTTTGAATTCAAGCTTTGATTCTTTGGACAGTACACTTGTGGTTTGGTCTATAAATATCAGCAGCAATTGGCAGTAATTTTCTTCGAGGAGATTAAAGGAAGAGCATATGAACAAGTTAACATTGTGTACACTCAAGTGAGGATGTAACATCTCAGTTACTTTGAATGAATTCTCTTACCTCATTCATGATGCAAGAAAGCAAGTCTGCTCCAAATTAGTTTGTGCTTGCTATGAGGAAAATTCCCTGCAGCCTGAATTTCTTCTATAACACCTATAATAGTCAGTGATATTGTTTGAACAATACATTTCAAACTGCAAGAGGTCCCCAAATTATTCAGCTTGACTTCTTTACTCTTCATCCGTCAGAATGAGTCACAGGCTTTTTCTCTTCCATGACTGGGTTTCTGAGCTATCATACTGGAGCATATAAGTAAGATGATAAATAACAGAATGTATTCAAGATATACACTTTGAATGACTCATCTTTCCCAAAAAAGCTTACAGAACTTTTGTCCATTAACTTTTTATAATTCTTTAGTGGTGATCCGGGCATTTGTAGGTAATGAGTAAGATTACTCCAGGTCTGTTTTGCTTTTTACTGAAACCAACTTTATGCTGCACTCAGGTCTTTTATTTCACCTATCTTTGGAACAGATGTAGAATGGAGTCTCTTGGTACTAATATCATAGCCTGAAGTCTGTAATTCTGTAAATAATGTTATGCAATCTGAAAATTGTTTCCACATTTCAAACTTCCCTAAATACATTCAAGCACAGAAACAGATGTTTAATTAAAAAAGCCAATTAGTGGCCAGTGGAAAAGCCTGAGATTAGTCAGTGCGCAGAACAGAACTTAGCGTCTCCTTGGCAGTAAGTGAGTGGACGTTGCCAGCCACCCAGCATCCCTCCAGAGCCATCTGCCAGGATGCATGGAAGCGGAATCACTGCGGAGCTGAGACAGATGTGCCACTGGAACAGGCTTTGCAGCACTTGAAAACAATAGCTACAAAATTAAATCAGAGGTTTCTGACCTCAAGGAGAGAGAGGCCTTGCATTGTTTTCATTTTCAGTCAGATGCCTAAGTCGGTCATTTATAAACATGCTGCAGAATTTCTTTTTGTGTGTCTTTTGCTTCTTTAACTGGATTGTTTATGTATCAAAAAGATGATACTGCAATCTGACCTCTCTCTTCAGAGAACGTAACAGTGCATATTGCTGTTTGAATAAGTAGCTTGTGGGTATATCAGTTTGTGGGTATATCATTGCAGTTTGAATTTATTGTAGTTGTGAATGAAACACCATAATCTCTGTTCCACAGAAATATCCCTCACAGTATTCCATATTTTGACATTTAAACGTTGTTTTGTGAAATATTTATTCAAAAGTTGAAATACCTCATTCGGTTCATTAATTGTGTTCCCTCAAAATGTCACAGTTCCTCTTGGGAAACACATTTCAGGTGCTTCATTTCTTTATTTGCCATTAGACCCCAAATTGCATGTCCAGCTGTATTCCTGATGAGGTACTACAGTGCAATAAAACATTGCAGGGAAAAATTCCCCACCATCCACTACTCAGTAGAATCTGAAAAGTGCATGTTCCAGGTATCCTAGCCTGACGGCAGCAGAAATGCTACAATTTAATTTTAGGGACCAACAGATTTAAACACAGGGCAACTAAAAGCCCTTTACAGGTGCGTTCTAACGCTAGGGCAAATGTTTGACCTGGATCGATGCAGTGTCATACTGGTAGTCCTGAATGACTTGCTTCCTGCCACTGAGAACAGTGAGCTGAGAAGATGGGAATAAAAATTTATTACTGAATGTCATGTATTATATTTATATCTCAGTGGCACATCATTATAGTTGGAATGATAAATTCTTGAGGTAGTTGCAAGGCTCCACAAAAGATCATGGATGGCTTCTTGGGAGGGAGATACTAAAGAAATAAAGAAATAATAGCAAAATTATATAATACCCAAATCCCTTGGAGTTGGAATTCACTGGTATCAATACAGGAAGTTTTCACCACTATCAGTAAGTTTTGGATCTGGCTTGTGTGGCTGAAACTTTGTATTTCATTGACCAAAAAAGAAGGAGGGGAAAAAATAAAGGGGGGGGGGGGGAAAAATAAGAAAGTCATAATAATTATGACAATCCCAAGTTTATATGAACTGGAAAAGATACTTCGCTATGATTATATGCTGTAGTATATACCATCAAAAGACCCAGTGTAGCTTTAAATATACCTTAAACATTTAGCTTGGATCAAGCTTACGTTTGTCAGTACACCTTCAATGAAAAATCATAGTTGACGAATCCAAAAAGCCTGTTTGACTGTGACGAGTTCGTTTGATAACAGAGATGAAAACCAAATGTTTATTATTCATGTAGCTTGGCATAACAAGCCTTAAGGTTTCATTGTTGGGTGTGAGTGTGAATTTTGAGGTAGAGATAAATAGTAGTGCAACTCTGTCTTGCCATTTTCCCTGTTTTAATGTGAACTGAGCCATTGCTTCTTGTGATTTTCAGACTTTACATCAGTTCAAATTCGACTTTCTCCAAGAAGTCTGTCACCATGAGCACTTTATCCCTCTGTGCCTGCCCATACGGTCTTCAAACATTCCTGGTAAGGCACCACCCCAAAAGGGTTTCTGTACAAGGGCGAATTATCGGGAGGTTCAAAGAGCTCATCAGGCACAGAAGACCCAAATGGCTTTTCAGGTGTGGTACTTAAGGATTGTGATAAAAATGATTTCAGTAAGCCTGTAAATAAATGCAACCCCTGACAGCCGAGTTAGGTGGTGGGAGGTGACTCTTTCACTAGAAGTTCTGAGGTGAATGAACTGGACCCTTTGTGAGGACTAAATTACTAAAGCTGCAGTAGCCTTGGGTAGGTGGTGAGCTAGGGAAGGGGTTGAAGAGGTACAGCAGGAAGGGAAAGAAGCTGAGGCAGTGATAAGGGCATTGTGAAACTCTACTGTTCGGGAACAAGCTTTCCTGCTGCTGTTGGGAGTATGACTTGTCCATGTGACAGCCCCTCCTTTGTGGGGAAGATCTGAACTGGACATGCAGCAGGAGCTTGGAAACATCCATCTCTCAGATAATAGGCCATTGGTACTTTTGTTTCCAGAGTATCTCTAGGACTGGCAGGCAGGTCCCATGCAATAGGACGAGAGAAAATGGGCTCAAGCTGCGCCAGGGGAGGTTTAGGCTGGAAATTAGGAAAAATTTCTTTACGGAAAGGGTGGTCAAGCATTGGAACAGGCTGCCCAGAGAGGTGGTGGAGTGCCCATCCCTGGAAGTGTTCAAAAAATGGGTAGATGTGGCACTTCGGGATATGGTTTAGTCTAGTCTACCCTTGATTGGTTTAGGTGGGCTTGGTAGTGTAGGTTAATGGTTGGACTGGATGATCTTAAAGGTCTTTTCCAACCTAGACGATTCTATGATTCTATAATAGCCTTTTTCTCAAGTGCATTTACTTTCTTGGCCTCTGGCAAGCCTGAACTTTATAGGGTCACCACATCATACTGCAGTGTTTTACCTGGAGCAGTGACGTTAGAGATGCCCATTTCAGAATCTATTAGTAATACGTCCTGAGCTGCTTCTCAAGGCAGGGGATACTGTGTGTAACCCACATTTTGCAGAGAAGCATGTACAGGTTTTGCATGTGCTCTACCACAGGAGTGAATCGACCCTGCCCATGCCCCAAAGCCAGCAGCCACCGTGCATTCCATCTCGTGCATTGAAATCTGTTATTTCGAACCTAACTTTGTGGCCAGTGCTCAGTACTGGGTGTTTTTCCTCTTGGTTTCAAAGGCACTGGGATTTCAGCCCTGGGCACAATTCCCAGTTCTTACAGTTTTCCATGGACTCTGAGGAGTTCACTTGGGATGTGGTCCTTTAAGTTGCTGAGAGTGGAAGGCACAATCATCTCTCTATGCAGCATCTCTCAAACTATGGGCCCTTGTCTCCTTTTTGCTTCAGTTTTCAGCACCAAAAAGTGAGTTCAGTTCTGACACTCATAGCTTTCTTTAACAGTAGAAGCCGTTTCATTCAAATTTGAGTCAAATGGAAAAAAAAGGTATAAAGCAAATACTTTTTTTTTTTTTTTTACACTTAATAAGTAAAAAAATTTGCATGATTTTTGCCTATTTTTGTTTTATATTTATGACAAATGAAGACCCTGTGACACCTTCAGAATCAACACAGGAATATCGAACGTCAGGTATGAACAAAATGACTGTATAAGAAGTAAGTAGAATTGTCGATCAAGAGCTTTAAGATTTACTTTGACCACTGCCACTGAACTGTGGCAAATTTAGGCAAAAATTATTTACCATTTTCAAAAGTGTGATTAGTCTGGATCTCTGTGTTTTAGAACTCTTCTAGCTAGAATATGGGAACAACAATCTGGACTCTGTGCCTCAAAGAACTGAATAGTCTTATTATGTGCAAAACATTTGAGATTCTCATATGGGAATGTGTATATAAATTGTCTTATTAAATTGTAAAAACTGCATGATTTTGAGAAATTCATTCTAGCAAGTGAAGGAGCAGAATGGGGCAGTCAGAGCAGGAAATCAAGGTTTAACAGTGGATTAAATCAAAAAAAGTTATTGAAGATTTGGAAAATGGGGGCAGGGGGGATTATGTAACCTATATATTAATTTAAGCGTTCTTGTCTGTTCCAAGATATTCCAGAGTACACATTGACCAATGAATTTTGCCGTAAACATTTTCTAATTGGAGTCCTGCTGCGGGAGGTTGGTTTTGCCTTGCAAGAAGACCAGGATATTAGGCACTTAGCTTTGGCTGTGCTTAAAAACTTAATGGCAAAGCATTCATTTGATGATCGATACGCAGAGCCGGTAAAGAAACTGTTTGTTTATTCTTTTTTCATTTGCTTGTTCATACGGTAGCTAAACATATATGAAACTTCCTTAGCCACTAGTATACGTTAATCAGTTTCTTCAAGATTATGTTGTATTTTTTATTTTTTAGGCAAAACAGGCACAAATAGCAAACCTGTACATGCCGCTCTATGGAATGCTTTTGGACAATATGCCAAGGATTTACATGAAAGATATGTTCCTTTTCAATATCAATACTTCCAATCAGGTAATTCATGTGATTTTTCAGAACACTGAAATGACCAAACTGCGGTCTGACCCAGGCAATCTGGTGGGAAGAGGTCCAAATTTATGCTGGTCACAGATGAGCTCATGAAATGCAGTTCTGAAAATGCTGATTTGTTTGCACCTGCAGTGTTTAATTTGGAAGGTCTCAATTTGCAGAGCACCTGCAGGGCCCCGAGAGTCTGTAGTGGGAAGGTACAAGCTGCAGGTCTGGAAGAGATCCAGGACACTGGCTGTCCCAGGGCTGGAAACTCAAAGTTAGAGGTTTGCAGGCCCAGCCAGTCAATCCAGTACGTCTGCCCTGATGCTGCAGGTTGAGGACCCTGTCCTCAGGCAGGTCCCTTGGCAGGTGGCTGGGAGACATGGTTGTAAAGAAAAACTCCCATCGCCCACAGATTCTTTGGCCAGGGTTATGTCATGAACCTACAAGCAGTTTCACTGGTACAACAGAGGGACCATGAGCTATACCAGGAGGCAGAGGGAATGCATACAAGTAGCTGAAGGAGGGAGGGGGTACAGAAACATCACAGAACAGCCTTACCACCATAGAAAATGTCTGCATAAACTGCACATGTGGACGAGCATGTTTGGTTTATTTCTTAAAAGTTTGGATGTGTTATAATCATAGCTCTGCTTTAAAAACTAGAAGCAGATTTCTGCAGGGGTGTTGTGTCTTTCAGTCCTTCCAGCAAACAAGCCTGTTTCATCTGATCATTGCTAACAGCAGTTAATGCTCCTTTCCCAATGCTGTGCTAGTGTTTAAGAAGCAAACGCAGTTAGACTTGATCTGTCCTTTACAACTTCAATTATGAGAGGGTTTCAGATTGCACCTAACTATTCGGCGTATTATGGCAAGCCTTGATCTTTTAAGGCTGTCATGTCTAAACAACTGAAAGTAGGTTTTCAAGCTCAGTGTCTAGGAAAAGCCTATTGGGTGTGCTGTTGTTATGAAAGTTATGAGTGATAACATTTATGGGAGTTTGTTCTGTTTCTTTCAAAATGCAGGGATCTAGGGATGACTTGAGCACAGCCGGAGGATTTCAGAGCCAGACAGCAATGAAACATGCAAACTCTGTGGACACATCCTTTTCCAAAGATGTTCTGAACTCTATAGCAGGTATAAATGACAGATTGAACACACACACTCTGTGTATGTCAATCCATCGTGCTTTCTGCTTAGTATTCATGGAGGATATCATTAGCCCATTTTATACAATATTCAGGGAAACATGGTATGCAATGTTTCTCTTTTCTTTGGGTGTTTTTGGATTGATTTTTATTTCTTTTGTGAAGCCGCTCTTCTTCCACGGTTTTACTTACTCTCCTGCTTTGGAATGATGCCAGTATCAGGCTCTCACAAATCTCTGTGCCTGAGTTCATTCTTGTAGTCTCTGCCTGACTTAAGAATAGTTCCAACGTTTCTCCTGAAAAGTCCTTGAAGTCCCTTGGAGGCAAGTATTCTTTGTTTTTCCAGGCTTAATGGAAGGGTAGAAACACAACTTACTTTGTTCACTTCCTCCAAACCCCATTTCAAAATTCAGGGAAGTGCATGGGCATCTTTCCACTGATTTTTGTGGCTTTAGGTCAGGCCTTATGGAATGCAGCAGGCCATTTTAATGCCATGAAGAGCGGCAAACTGAATCATTTTACTTCAACTTGTTGCATGTTTTCAGTACTAAGCATACCCATCAATAGCTTTGCTATTGGAAGTTCAAAGCACTGGTGTCAATCCAGCATGTGACACGTTTTAAGTTTTCCATTTTTCCTGTTGGTTTTTGTATCCATAAATGTTTTAGTTTAGCATGTTTGCTATGATTTTCATTTACAGCCTTTTCATCAATAGCTATCTCTGCAGCAAACCATGCTGACTCCAGAGCTTCCTTAGCAAGTCTTGAATCTAACCCAAGTACCAATGAAAAAAACAGTGAGAGAACTGACACGTGTGAAAAGGTACATGTGCAAATGTTGAAAACAGTTACTGGAGGTGGAAACCTATCACTATACTTAAAAAGGCCTTTTGCTGTCAATTCAACAGATCATGAGACCTTTGTCTTTGATTGGATCAACTCTTCGTTTTGACAAGTTGGATCAAGCTGAAACTAGAAGCCTTCTTATGTGTTTCCTTCACATTATGAAAACCATTTCGGAAGGTAAGAAAATGTGCACTCACTACATAACTTACATTGGTGTAAAATATTGTGAATGCTGAATCCAAACAAACATTAAATTAGAATAATTATCAGTGTATTTTACAGGCTTTGGGTCAAGTTTAATTCCCTGTAACAAATATATAATATATTTTAATATCTCCCTTTAGACGCACTGATTTCCTACTGGTTGCGAGCACCATTCTCAGAAATAACAGACTTTTTCAGCATTTTAGAGTAAGTTCACTTTGTGGTTGGTTGATTTTATGTTAAATGATGATGTTCTAAAGTGACTGCTGCAAAGAATTTCTCTTTGGGTTTGTCCACCTAATGGAATAGGCAGAGATAGCTCTTGTCTTAGATCATTTTTGCCAAAGTTGTAATGAGACGTTACTAATAAAATCCATATCCTCATCATTTCCATGAACGGGGGGCATAATGCTTTGCATGTTCCTCCTAAAAAGAGATTTGCATAGTAGTTTCCCCATTTGGGGCTGAGATTCTGTTCTTCCCTTGAGAAAAGTATTTAACTCCCCAAAACTTTGAAACCATAAGAAAAGCTATGTAATGTAGGATTACCTGCTTTTCACATCTCCAAGGTGGTTTGCTCAATCCAACCTGTGCATGTCTGCAGAATGCATGCAGGTAGCTAGTTTCAGAATTTCCTCACCGTCTCATAAGTGAAATACGAGTTACTTAACTTCAACTGGTGGAGAAGCAATGCTTTTGCAGCCAAGTCTTTGCCTTTGACTTTGCCTCCTCACCAAGAAGGAATCTTCAACCACAGAGAAAAGGAACAAGGGTGTGGAAAGTGATGCCACATCTTGTGCATCCCTAAGCTGGGAGCTGCTGCATTTTATTCTGTTTGCTTACTAGGAGGTGCATATGCCACAGGTCTCTTCGAGGCACTAAGATTTAGCATTTTTACATAATTAGGAAGCCATTAATAGACATAAAATGTGTTGTTTTATCTTTCAGGGTTTGTCTGCAAAATTTCAGATATCTAGGAAAACGCAATATTGTAAGGTAATTCTCTAGTTATAGACTGTATGTTACAGTATTTAAATATTACTGCATTACATGAGGCTTAAATGAGGTTAACAGTGTATCTATCAGTTTTCTCCTGAAAGCATCAGTCTGACATACTGAAGCCAATGTGTGCTTAATTTTTTTATTTTATGCAAACAATGTTGTCATGATGTTCTGGACATCTAAGTACATACCTGGTGTAAAAGATTAATTGCATGTGATGATATGATAACCACTGTTGCATTTATAACCCAAAATACTGGGCCATTCTCAACCATATTTCTGTGCCTATGCGAAACAAAGGAACTTAAACACTGTGTTTTCCATCCATATAATGTAAAGAATAGTTTTAATGGGCATAGATAAATGTTCCACAACAATTTAAAAAAAAAAAAAATCTTCTGTTTCTACCCACTCTCTGAAAAAGCAAAGGATCGTGTTCCGGCTGTGAAATATGAAATGCACACTTTGTCTCAGTTGGTATTTCATTTTTAATTTAATGTTACCACTGTGAACTTGTCTATATGTCATACTGTGGGAAAACAAAAGGTCACCAGATGAACCACTTCATGCTCCATGGCAGGTTTTGTCAGGCCTGTGTTTATTCTTCAGAGGCATGGCAAATTCAATGTCACGTTCCGTAACAGATTAACAGTTATTTTCTCTTAACAGGAAAATTGCTGCTGCTTTTAAGTTTGTTCAGGCCACCCAGAATAATGGAACCCTTAAAGGTTCAAACTCCTCTGGCCAGGCATCGGGTCTGCTCTCGCAATGGTAATGACACATTGTATTATTAACTCCTGTAAAAACACAATCTTTGTTGTCATCCTCCAGCCCTCGTACACTGTCACAGTGTTGACTGAAAAGAAGTTGACACAACATGTAACACATTTCAGAGCCCCCAAAACCGTAAACCATAAAAGAATTGAGTCCCTTTAACTTCAGTTTGACTTATAAGCTGTTGTTTAAAATGTTATGTTCAGAAGAATCCTTAGTTACTGGCAATATTGTTAAGTATTGCAGAAACAGTAGCTGATGTTCTCAGCTCAGATCCCTATCTGAAAGATAATCCACAGTTTTCCACAACCTGAAGGAATTCATAGGTCTGCAGCCTTATGCTTTCATGGAATCTTACTGCTTTAGGGGAAAATATCTATGGATGCTACAGTATTGGGGAATTCGTTTCTCCCCAATAACCCAGGGTTGTGGAGGGGCAAGTATCTAGCAACACAAAGTCAAAATTAAGAGTAGGTTTGCTTGACACCCATCTTTTTATTTCCATGCTGCTAAGTGTAGCATAGTCCTATACTGTTATGTCCACGTTGACAGTTAGAGAATCTTTCTTTCCTAGTCTTTTTTTCCTCCATTTTCTTAGTCTAAACATTGCAAGGTTTAATCATTTTCATGGACTGCATGGTAATAAGCTGCAGGTGCAGCACATCTTTAATAAATCTTTTTGATCCTTTTAGGGAAAAGTGGAATCCTTTTCATGTTAATAATGTAAAACTCTAGAAAGAAAGCAAACTTTTGACTCTGTACAGCTTGTGGTTGTATCTAAGAGCATGGTGAGAGAAAGTCCACTTTCCCCCTTCAAAATCATTGACTTTTCTCATTTACGTATAGCTAGAATATGCTCACCATTATAATCATCTATCTTGGAATGGAACAAAGGGGAAAAAAGATGCTTTCTCTGCCATACTTCTTTCTTTGTTCCTCTACTGTGCAGTTTTCAAGAAGCAGCACTGATTTCATTACCCCAGCTGGAACTGGCAAGCAGCCTTTAGGAGATTGTTGTTTTGTTTCATGTTTGCAGATGAACCAACATGGTGGCAATCCAGACAATAAAGTCACGTTTCTGCTGTCTCCAGGACCTTCACACTTTACCCCCTCACAGATCAGCATTTGTTGTCCAAATGGCTATTTGTTTGGCCTGTTCTAATACAGAGCATTTTTTGATGATGAGTTGAGTTGAAGTATTGCTGGTGATCAGCTCCAACTTGCACCTACATTTATATATTTCAGTTTGCTGAAATGTTCATATGAAACCAGACTTTCCACCACCCCCACTCCCACCCCCCAAAAAGAAGTGTCACAAGAAAACCTCTTGAGATAAATTTCCACATGTTCCAAATCCATTAGTTTGCCAGGATGCCCACACAAATCCTTCCACTGTGACAATTAATGGAAGATTTCATCACATTGATTGGCAAAAATCTGGCCATCAATTCTGTACCTGTGTTGGGAACTTTTTCTTTTTTTAAATCTGAAATGTTAATTTTCTAAATTATTCCTGTAAAAATAACCAACATAAAATATGATTTAGCTAGGTGCAGAAAGCAATTCTGTCCTAGAATATTTTTAAATCATGCAAATTTAAGAAACTACATTTTTTTAAAGAAATTCAAGTGTATTTTAATAAGTGACCTGAATTTTGAGAGATGTTAAATCTTGCTGAATTCTGTAGTGGTTACAAATTCAAAATCCTTTTAAAAATTATGGTAAGCATTGGTATTTCAGTTCTAAGCTTCTCATTATAAATTAATGATGTGATTGTCAGCATCAAAGAGGGTTAAAAAACACACATATACGCATGTATGTATTTTTACTGTCATTGTCAGTTTGTCATTATTTTTTTCCCCTCATAGAAGCTGTATTAGTTCTTTCATGACCACAATACATTTTTCTTGAATTCTGAGTTAACAGAGCTCATCTCAGTTTCTCTTCACCCAAAGGCAGTTTTCTAAACATCAGCCAGCTATTTCAGCTGATGCTTTTTTTCAGTACTCAATGAGTGTTTTGTCTCCTGTGATCTCAAGAAGTCACATCACATCTGTATGTTTTGTCCACCTCACTGACTTTCTTCGTCTTTGTTTCAATGAAAAATTTTGCGTTAGTTCATTTAACAGCCTTTGAGAAGTACTGCAGAAAATTCTAACTGACATGGAAAGGCATGTATAGGCATGATAGTTTATTCTTTGTTTCTGTTTTTTAATGGTACCTTTCAATTTCAGGATGCATTCTACTTCTAGTCACGATGGCCACAAGCATCACAGATCTCAAACATTACCAATAATCCGTGGCAAAAATGCACTTTCTAACCCCAAACTCTTGCAGATGATAGACAGCAGCACTGCAAGTAAGTACAAAAATTATTTACTTCCCTCTGGAATTCTATGGGGTTTGGATCAGGCTTTATATAATTAAATCGGTTTTATGAGTGCTAGTGAAAGACAGCCTGAAGAGAAGAACCTAAATGTAAATAGAGCTGGTGACTCTGCCTTTTCTTCAGGAGACTAAGAAATCTGAGCTTAAATTTAGTCAAAGTTAATTTAGAAACAAAATTTATTACAATAACCTGACATATTTAAATAGCCTTAATGACAAGTTATTCCCCGCTTCCCAGCATCTCTTGGATCTATGGTTATGTACCATGCTGTACAAGCAGATGTACACTGGCTGAAATATTACATTTATTAGATCTAGCAATAAAAGTGACCTTTTCATGACAGAAGGTTCTTTAAATGATGAGATCGAAGTCATCTGTCCTACTTTCCAGTTAGGTTTCTCTCCTCCTTTGAGAACAAACAGAAACAATGAAAGAATATACTCATATCACTGGTGCAGCTGGTAAAAGTTGACTCAAATTTCCTCCCCTTTCATCTCCTGTGAGCAGTTTTCTTCAAAATACCCTTTCAGTTAAATGTACAGTTAGGACCCCATTTCTACTGTGCTGATACTTAATGACCAGGTTGCAGAATTACATAATCTTTAACTACACTCAGAAGATTGTCATCTTGCTTTTTATACGTTGCAGGCAACTCCAATGAAACGGACATTGTACAGTATGTAGACACAGAGGCAAACATTGCTACAGAAGTCTCCCTCACAATCCTTGACCTGTTGTGTCTTTACACTCTGAATCACCAGGTATGTTTTGCTCTTTCATTTTGCTTGAACTGGTGGCATGTGGGATATGTGGTGGAAGGAAGGCCTGGGGGAGCAGGTACACAGAAAACTCGAAATGCCTGAGACAGCAGAATAGGTAAATAAGATGTGTCAGTCCTCAATGAAGGTATTTTATGAAGGAATTGACTCGTAGTGCCCAAACTGAATAGAAGGTTGTGGAAGAAGAGCATCCGACATATCCAGGGCTATGTACAGCCCTGCTCTGCATGAAAGTGCCGTGCGTCTACCTAATACGTCACCTTATCTGAATCATGCTTATCCCACTAGATTTCAGAGATTTTCGACAAAAGATTGAAGAACTGCTTATCATCTATATCTCTTCAAGTCAGCAGGTGGATCCTCTGCCTCTTTAAAAATTGCTCTACAAATATTGGCCCAGATGATTTGCTGAAGGTCTCACAACTACAATACAGCAGACAGCTCCTTTCAGATTTAGTGTCTCCTTTCTGCCACCCTAGCCCTGAAATCTAGTTTATACGATCCACAGGTAGGAGTACAGGCATAGGAAAGTGCTATCCTTGAAAAACTGCAAGTAAAAGGAGTCTGCAGCAAGCTGGGAATGCCTCATCTGCAGAGACTTGACATTGAAAAAAACATATCCCTAGGAACACTCCAGTGTAAAGTCCAGCAGAACCTTCTTCTGTTTATTCATTTTAGTAACCAGAATGTCCTGTATTGTCTGTGAACTTTTCAGAGGCAGCTCCAGCAATCTGATTGCCAGAATGCATTGATGAAGAAAGTCTTTGACACACACATGCTCTTTTTGCAAATCAACCAGTCAGCAGCAGCTCTCAAGCACGTCTTTGCTGCCCTACGGCTGTTTGTAGGCAAGGTAACTATGGCTTTATTCTGTTAGTCTGACCTATTAATATGTTACAGCACTTGTGGCTTGAGGACAGTTGGGTACTTTGAAAGAGTTCTGAACTTCACTGTATTAACGTTCATTCCTGACAAAAATCTTCTGATTCATTGCTGACTAAAAGTGAGAGGTTCACAATATCTGAAAAATCAGTTCTGTTTTGGAAAATGAAAAATTTACTTAGAAAGTGAAACTTGTAAAGTAAATAGGTAAGTAATGTTCAGGTCTGTGATATCTGGCTATGTCATTGGCTTTCATGCTTTTACCACCTGTGGAAGAAAGCTTGAAACCCATGGTCTTAATGGCAGATACCTGGATTTCAGAATCCAGCGGTGAACGGTTACAGCTGTCCCCAGAGGAGCTAGCAGGAGAGTATTCCATACACTTCACCAAAAGTTCATCCAAACTAATAGTTTTACAAATACCTTGTTTTCAACATAGAAGAGTTTTTGGGCAAAAACATGCTCATGTGTCAAACTCTGTTTGCTTGCATTGCACATATGTAAATGATCATGGGCAATTAGACAACTGCAAAGGCTGCACAATTTCCAAGTCATAGACTTAGATGAGATCCTCTTAAAACTAACCAGAATGTAGCGCACAGGTAACAATTGCTATGGGGAAGTAAGAATAAGCAAGGCTGGCCTGATCTCCCAGCTGTTTCTATGAAATGCAACAGCGTAGATCAGTTTAAACCATGTGACCTCCTCCTGGTTGTTTTCCCAGGGGAGGAGGAGGAAATCCTGCTTCTCCCAGTAACATAGCTTGAGGATATGGGGGAGATACAAAGTAAACCATCCACAAACAGCTTTAAATTACATACCAGACAGTCAGGAACTGAAGAACTCTGTGTAGTGGGGAGGATGAATAAATATCCAGGATCGCCCTTTTCATTCATCCTGTAGCTCTCGGGACTGAATTCTGTCTTCGTAGTTCTGTGGGAACAGGGATCAGTCGTGGTTCCTGCAGCAGAGCCTCTCAGGCGGTACTTGAGATGCGTAGCCAATATGTGTCTTCCACCTCTCCTCGGTCTGTCTTCTGTTCTATTCACCCTGCCGATAAATAGTAGGTGCAGTTTGGAGAGCCATCCTTCACTCTCTGTTGTCTTCTGCTGTTCAAACCCTTGACCACTGGAGGTTCACTGACTTTTCTACTCAAAGTATTTTCTTTCTCCTGAACAGCTTTTACACTAGTGCAGAGCCCCACACATGCTTTTTCTGGTTAGCTATTCTGCATTCCTTGCAGATAAGCTGCTCTGCTTTTATGCTTGCTGTGTGCCAGCTGCTGTCTGGACTTTCTGGAGGCCAGTTTGATTGTTGCATTGCATACAGTGTTTGTATGAAAACCTGTGTGCAGTTTTTACTTAATCTTAATTTGTACATGAGATTATGTTTAGCCAGTGGCTAATAATTTCACTAAACCCCGGTGTGAATGAATATGGGAGAGTTGTTTTTACTGAAGGCTTAACAGAAAAAAGTATTGACTCGGAATAACTGTACCAAGGCCTGAGAGTAGTGCTAAACATATTCACACTTTTTTTTTTTTTCAATAGTTCCCATCAGCATTTTTCCAAGGACAAGCAGATCTCTGCGGTTCACTCTGCTATGAAATCCTGAAGTGTTGTAACCATAGGTCACGTTCAACTCAGACAGAGGCATCTGCTCTTCTTTATTTTTTCATGAGAAAGAACTTTGAGTTTAACAAGCAGAAATCAATAGTCAGATCGCATCTACAGGTAAGTGAAGTGTGAGATCATCAGTATTTAGCTGATGTGTATTGGGTTTTATCATTATTATTTTTATGCATTGTAGCAAAGCAATTCTTTTGGAGTCCTCAGACAGACAATTCTCTGTGGCAGCTTGATTTTCCTGCCAAGTCTGAAGACATTGGGCTGGATTCTCTGCTGGTTTTGGGCTGCTCGGCTCTGTTCCAGGGAGAGACAACAGCTGTGAATGTAGCCGCATAGCCAGTAAATAGCCAGATAAATGGCTATTCTTGATTCACGTGCACTGCTTACAGCAGTGAGAACATAGCTGATGAAGGAGCTAAACAGAATGTGATAGTATAGTAACAGAAATGTAAAGTCCAGTAACAATGTGCCTACTGTGCAAAATGTGAGCAATTACAAACATTGGAAAGATTACTCCTAGTCCTTGCGTTTGTATATGTTATCTTTTTAAGACAGGTAGAAAAGTGCATCTGTGCTAGCTGGGTACATCAAGTCATACTAAAATAGGGTTTAAAAACTGTTCAGAAACTTTGGTTTGCCTTGCTAATTGCACCCTGTGTTTGCTCCCCTCTGTACAGCTCATCAAAGCAGTGAGCCAGCTGATAGCCGATGCAGGGATTGGTGGATCTCGTTTTCAACATTCACTTGCAATTATAAATAATTTTGCTAATGGAGACAAGCAGATGAAAGTAAGAAACATTTTTTGTCAATCACTACCTCTTGCAAAAGGTCAACAATTTCAGAGGAGCAAGTATTTCAGTGAATAAAATTGCTGGCTTTTATTAGATGGTGATTTATGCATGCATAGTGTGCCTTTTTCAGGCAGCCTGAAGTTCATGAAAATGTTTGTGACTCAGAATCTTAATAATTTAAAATATTTTTTAAAACAAAAAAGAGATTTTTATTTGAAAATTGTATTATTTGTTATTCACTTCTTATTTTGTTCATTTGTCTGATGTCAGAGAAAGTATTGTGCGTTGTGACTAATGAAACACAGTTGCAGTTGACAAACAATTTTTAGTCTACAAACTGTCTGTTCAGTAAATGTGTAGCAAAAACATGCACAACAGTTGGGTTTTGTAACAGCTTGCTAACCCCCTGAAAAAGGCACTTAGCTCTTAGATTAGTTACCATTGCTATTATATTCATTGTCTGTACTAAAACTATTGGAAAAGGATTCCAATTTTTAATATTTACAATTCCTGTGCAAACATTTGTCAACATGCATTTTGAATTTTATACCTTGGAGGTGTTTTCCTTCTCTGAAAGTGACTTTAGGATATCTCCACTGAGGTTAATAATGAAGTTAGTGTAAGCAAATTGGTAGATAATTAGCATAAGTAATTTGATGTCTTATTTAATAAGATGCAGTTACAATTCTGTTTGTTTCCAGAGTCCAGATTTCATTTCCCAGCACTGCAGTCAGTCACACTGCTTCATTAACATGCTCATCTCTGTGTCATGTAGAGGAGGGAGCATTTCATTTCATTTAATTTTTCTGGTTGTTTTTACTTTTAAACAAAGGGAACAAGGGGAAAAAAGTCTGAAAATAGAAATGTATTTCACTGCCCATCTGAAAAAGAGAAATTGCAGAGCTGAGTTAAATATCTTGAGAACAGCTGATATGAGTAATACAAGGACTCTGTTTTAATCTTGCACAGTGTGAGAAGACCAGGAGCCAGACTGTTGTGCTTTATTCACTGCAGTGAAGCACGCTGTGAGTGTAGTTAAGCAGGACTATCTATAGCCCACAGTGCTGTTTGTCAGCTGGAAGCATACAAGAATGCAGTTCTGGATCCAGTAAGCAACCAAGGAACAAATGTTTCAGTTTGCTGACTTCAGTGGAGTTGCTGCATACAGACAGTGGTACAGCTGACTGACTGGGATATCTAGTAGGTGCTATGACACATCAATAAAAAAAGATCAAGGATTTGTGTACAGTGTGTACATACTGTGGAACTGTGACTCTGCTTTGAAGCCTACTGAATTAGGGAAGGGGAAGAAGGTCTTCCATAAGCAGGACTTCAGCTCATTCAGGGGTGCTGCATATGGCTCTTTGGATGGTTTTACTGATGTATTGCTTATCTTTCCCAAAGAACGTTAATTTCCCAGCAGAGGTGAAGGATCTGACCAAACGCATCAGAACGGTTTTAATGGCCACAGCTCAGATGAAGGAGCATGAGAAAGACCCTGAGATGCTTGTGGATCTGCAGTACAGCCTAGCAAATTCATATGCCAGCACACCTGAATTACGTAGGACATGGCTTGAAAGCATGGCCAAGATTCACGCAAGAAATGGAGACTTATCAGAGGTAATGTAAATAAATAAATAGGAAATCTATTTGTCTTTAGGCTGAGATGTTCTGATGAAAAAGGCTCTGAAAAACAGACAACAGTAGTGATTTAAGAGCACCATACAGTGTCTCTAATATAGAATCATAGAATGCTTTGGGTTGGAAGGGACCTTTAGAGATCATCTAGCCCAGTCCCCCTGCAGTGAGCAGGGACAGCTTTAACCAGATCAGGTTGCTCAGAGCCCCATCCAACCTGACCTGGAATGTTTCTAGGGATGGGTCCTCCACTACCTCTCTGGGCAACCTGTTCCAGTGCTTGACCACCCTCATTGTAAGAAATTTCTTTCTTATGTCTAGTCTAAATCTATTCTTCTTTAGTTTAAATCCATTATTCCTTATTCTGTCACATCAGGCCTTGCTAAAAAGATTATCCCCATCCTTCCTATAGGCCCCCTTTAAGTACTGGAAGGTCGCAATAAGGTCTCCCCGCAGCCTTCTCTTCTCTAGGCTGAACAACCCCAACTCCCTCAGCCTGGCCTCGTAGGAGAGGTGCTCCAACCCTCGGATCATTTTG